ATCATTTCGAATCAGCGAGGCAGAGGTCTGATAGGGAGATATCAATGTTTGAGATCCAGCAAATGTTCAAAGTAATTGGCCATGAATCTGCTCCATTGCGTTCTCCCTTTGGCCGCGACGGCCAAGACTCGGTAAGACCAAAACTGAATTGAAAGTCCCTTTCTTTTTTTCAACTGTGAATTTGATGAAGAGGAGAGGGGAAGCATGGGTCGTAGCTCTGACAAATTTGTAGCAACTAACATGATCAAAGTAGATAACTCAACAACAACATGGATAGAATACATCAACTCATTCAAGGACAAAAAATTGAAAATGATCAAGATTGAAAAAGAATGAAGAAGATTGGCAACCTTCAAAAGTTAAGCAGTATTGCAAATAAGTTGAGAAATGTTATCATAGAAGACATTGCACTTATTTTCTTTTTAGTTCTATGTAATTTGCATAGAAATATGAAATATAACCATTGAAACTTTATTTTTCTTCATATTATTATTTTTCTTAATTTTCAAAATTTATTTTAAATATGATACATTGAAAATTCAATAAATTAAGATCAAGAGGATCAAGAGCATTTCCTTACATGCAACGCACGTGCTTCATTACTAGTATATATATATATATATATATATATACACACACACTAGTAAAAGTGTATGTGTGTTGCACGTGACAATATCAAATGATGATGATGATGATAATAATCAACAACCAAAAGACCTTACCTATTGAACCATTAACCTATTTAACCAAGAAAATGGACTATGATTAAGACATTAATTCATTGTTATCTTTATATTTAAGCCATTTCTATCTTTACTAACAATAATTCTTATTTTTCAAACATATTTTTATTTAATATGAAGAATATGTAATGTTAATGCTTGTTCAAAATTTTCTATAAAATATATAAAAAATTCTATATATTTATTTTTAATTATTTAATTTATGAGATAATAAAAATTACTTATTACCAAGAGGAAATGCAATTCCAATATATTGTTTGAATATTGGTTTTAAATATTGTGGTCAAATTAATTATTTATATATAATATATGTTGTTTATTATTTATTTATAAATATGTTATTTATATTACATTTTTCTAAACTTCTTATATGATGAAAATAGTTCAAATAAATACTTATATTTTTTGTTTTTCTTTATTTCAACTATTATATTTTCTTTTCCTTTTAATAATTTATTATTTTTTTAAATTAAATTGGATCGTATCATATTTGGATATCCAACATCTTGATTAGATTCAGATTTGAATCAATATTTATGAAATCCAATTAGATCTTTGAATTGAACCGAATTCGAATATACCTTGATTGAACCATTTGACATGGTTAGTGGGGTCATGTGTTAGACATTAATGCTCTTTATTTTTATACAAATTTTTATCCCATTTCTATTATTAATGAAAATAATTCGCATTAAACACACTTTTTTTATATGATGAATAAATAATATTATAGAATGTACCCAAAATTATCTACCAACTCCATTTTCTAGAATTTTATGTATTTTATTATGTAATAATAACATCATGTGTCGATCCATTTGACATGGATAGTTGAACCACTAACCCACCACTTGGATGAAAAACCAAATTTTCCTTTTTTCGGTTGATTTTAAATCCTGTATCACATTTTCATCATCAATAAAAGTAATTCTTACTTTCACATTTATTTTTGCATGTGGCAGTATCAAATGATGATGATGATGATAATAATCAATAACCAAATGACCTTATTGGTTAAATTGTTAACCTATTTAACCAAGAAAATGGACTATGACTAAACATTAATTATTTTTTTTTTCTTTGTATTTTAGCCATTTCTATATTTATTAACAATAATTCTCATTTTTTTCAAACATAATTTTGTTTTAGTATGAAGAATATATAATATTCATGTATGTTCAATTTTTTTATAAAATTTATAAAAAATTCTATATTTTTATATTTTATTATTGAATTTATGAGATACTAAAAGTTACTTATTTACCAAGAGAAATGCAATTCCAATATATTGTTTGAACATTGGTTTTTAATATTGTGGTAAAATCAATTATTTATATATAATATTTATGCAAATATTATTTATATATAATATACATGTTATTTATTATTTATTTACAAATATGTTATTTATATTGCATTTTTGCAAACTTTTTAATATTGGAAATAGTTGAAAAAATACTTATATTTTTTGTTTTTTATTTCAACTATTATATTTTCTTTTTCTTTTAATAATTTATTTTTTTAAAATTAAATCGGATCGTATCAGATTCAAATATCTAACATCTTGATCAGATTTAGATGAATCAATATTTATGAGATCGGGTCAAATCTTTGGATCGAATTAGATTTGAATATACCTTGATTCAAATATGATCTGATCTGTTTGCATCCCTACAAAACCACTTGCCTACGATGACCTAGCTAATTAAATTATTGAACCATTTGACATGGTTAGTCGGGTCATGTGTTAGACATTAATGCTCTTTATTTTTTTATCCTAATTTTTATCTCATTTCTATCGTTAATGAGAATAGTTCTCATTAATCACACTTTTTTATATAATAAATATATAATATTATAGAATGTACCCAAAATTATCGATAATTTTTTACAATTTTAGAATTTTATGTATTTTATTATTTTAATAACATCATGTGTTGATCCATTTGACATGGATATTTTAACTACTAACCCACTACTTGGATGGAAAACCATTTTGTTTTTCCACTTGATTTTAAATCATGTATTTCATTTTCATCATTGATAAAAGTAATTCATATTTTCACATTTATTTTTGTTTAATATGGTGAATATATAACAATAGAACTATATCAAAATGCTTTATACAAAGCTTACATTTTTCTTTGAGTTTATATATATATATAATATTCGTTAATTAATACTTAGTTATGACATCATAGATTGGTCCATTTTCATCATCGATAAAAGTAATTCTTATTTTCATATTTATTTTTGTTTAATATGGTGAATATATAACAATAGAACTATATCAAAATGCTTTATACAAAGCTTATATTTTTTTTTGAGTTTTTATATATATATATATTTAATATTCGTTACTTAGTTATGATATCATTGATTGACCCATTTGACCTTGAATGTTAAACCATTGACCTACCTACCATCTAGCTATGGAATTGGTTTCATGTCCAAACTGGTTTTAATTTTTGCATTTCATTTATATCATTGATAAAATAATTATTGCTTATCATACTTGTTTTTTCTTATATTATTAGTCTATAATATTATAGATGTGCCCAAAATTGTTTCATTTTTTTTGTACTATTCTATTTTAAAATTATTTTTAATTCATGGGTTAACCTATTTGACCTGAAAGGTTGAACCATTAACCCACACCCTAGATAGGAAGATGGTTAAATTTCCCATCGGTTTTAAGTTATATATTTGATGTCCATCATTAATAAAATTATGTCTATTTTATCATACTTATTTTTTTAATATGACAAATATATAAAAATAGAAATATGTCCAATTTTTTTAAATTTTTTTTCTATAATTTTGTATTTTTATATTTCTAAATTTGTATTATTTATTTGACATCATGAAATTATCCATTTGACCTAGATGGAAAATATGAATTCATTTCTAGGTTTATTTTAAAAATATAAAATTTTATTCTGTTAATAATTGTGTATGGATTTATTAGTGGTTTTAATCTTTATCCCCCTCCTCAACGTCAAATGCAATGTCTTTCGTTTCACCAAAAGCTACAAAATTGGTGAGTTTGGATTTTAATGCTGGCCCATCCTCCATTAGCTTTGATTGAAGAATCTTTCTTTTGGATCCAAAGCTGCAGAGCCTTTTGAGCTTATGGGCTGGCTCGTCACTCGTGGACTTGTGGCATAGAATGACAACCGAAGGAGCTTCTATGCATTGATTCATTTTTCCATGGCTGACCTTCCTGAAGATGTTGCGTTACTCTTTCTAACAAGCCATTCAAAAGATGGATGAAAGTGTCTTCTTTACAAGGAATCGTTAGGCCACCCATTGGATGATCAAACCCAAACTCTTCCACGGCCTGACCTAACAATTCTTGAATTGAAGGATGATTCAAGTAGGATACTGGAATAATAAACCTCCTCTTTTCTGCTTCCCCTAGATAGACCGCCAAATGACCCTTGGGGACCACATATCCATATAAGACCTGATAGTCGTACATAGAAAGAATTTGCCTTGAAGTTCGACCCATAAATAGTTTTTGGGTGAATGATGGTTCAGCCTAGTGTTAGAATTCTTAGGCCCAACATACAGTTAGGATAGGTGTCAGCTTAGAATTGATGCCAATTTATAGTTTGGTCTTAATGTATAAGGTGGGGATATTTATCATTTTAAATTATCATAGGTCTGTAGTGGAATTCAGAATTTTGCATACAGCGTACTTTTCCTAAAGATATATACCACAGCACGACCTGTCCCACCAATCTTGATAATTGACTGGGGCGGTAAAGCCATGTGAAACCATGACCCATGTCCCCTCTCGCCCATGTAACCACACGCTTGTCATCAGTTATTAACAAATTTATTTCCCATATAGATATAGATCGATGTATACAGGCCACTGACTTGAGGTTATAGTGGGATTTGGGCAAGGAGCTTACCATGGGTGTAGGTTTCTGCCTATGCAGCTCTATCCACTAGTTTAAACCGACACCAACTTTGGCCAACAAATGGCTTGTCTTTGTCTAGTGATCACTGGTCATTCTTTAGTAGGTCTGTGACTCAAACAAAATGTCAGAGCTAGCTGTATCCTAAAACCAAAAGTTAAGTCTGCTTTGTACTACAATGTAGTAGGGGCCCCTACGTTACTTACTTACCTACCGATTCAAGAGAAAGTGGAACAACCATACCAGACCTAACTACACCCAAAATAATGGAGTTGGGAGCAGAACCATGTGAAACCCTTCTTAGTTATGTTCCTTATCATGGTCCATGCAACCGTGTCTTCACCACTCATTAAATAATATTTTGAGAGGATTCCACTTCTATCTGGTCCATCTATATATACACAGGCATACCACACTTCGATGCCATCTCACTTCAGGTCTTTAATTTGTAAATTATCTCTATTCTCAAAGTTATTATTCTTTTTCTTCTCCTTGTTGTTTTAGGGATAACTAAGCATAGAAGCCATGGGCATTCGCTTGCCTGGATTGGTTCATGCCAAGATGATTCTTCGACGTTCTTTTCTTACTGCAAATCAATCAACTTCACCGGCAGCAGCAATCACAGACGTCCCGAAAGGCCACCTGGCTATTTATATTGGAGAGACCCAGAAGAAGCGATTTGTGGTTCCCATATCCTATTTGAACCACCCTTCGTTCCAATCCTTGCTTAGTCGGGCTGAAGAAGAGTTCGGATTTGATCATCCAATGGGTGCTCTAACAATCCCGTGCCAAGAGGATGCCTTCATAAATCTCAGATCTCGGTTGAATGGCTTATGAGTATTAGCAACCATCTGGGGCCAAGAAATTGATTGGCCCCCGTTCAAAATTTTGTAAAGCCTAGGCGTAGCCATTTATATGTAAATAGCTTTCATGTGGAAGAGAGTTGAGAAAGAGGAGAAACAAGTCCCTTGTCGATCATCTCTAAAATTATACAATACAATTTTTTTTCCTTTTGACTTTATCCTTGGGCATTCTAAATTAATGGTTTTAATTCAAGCTATTTTCTTGTTTTGTAGTTGTTTAATTTATTCCAATTTTCGACATCTCCTATGAATTAAGCCTTGGCAATTCAGTACCAAAATGTTGCAGGAAAAAATATATATATACACGCACAAGGCCAGGTTAAGTTAAGGCTCAGTTTGGAAGGAGTATAAATACAAATTTATAGAGTATAAAATCTTACATTTTATATTATTTTGTATGTATTTGTTCTGTACATATCTGTATTTATAGTCCTTCCAAACTGAGCCTAAGACTGCATTTGGTTGGAGTGCAAATCTGAACCGTTGCAAATTTGCACTCCGGTTCAGATTTACATCCGTTCGGTAAGCATTCAAAAATGCATTGATTTTCGATGCAAAAATGTATATACACCCGAGTTTGAATTGAAAATGAGAGAGAATTTTGTTTTCAAAAAATCAAAGTAAAATTTGTTATATTTCTCGGTCGAAGTAAATGGAATATAGTTTTGCATCCATTCTCAGGTAAAAGAGAAAAACCCTCAAAGAGAGAAGAGAGAAACCCTCGAAGAGAGAGAGAGAGAATGGTTCTGAGCCTCGACAAAGGTAACGATCTCTACTTTCGATTTTTGAAAATGAGAGATGCAACTCTATTCTTCGATTTATGGATCTCTTAGAGATCTTACTTCGATCTATTCAATTTTTGTAACGATCTCTACTTTTGATTTTTTTTTTTTTCATTTCGAGGTCGTTTTCCTCGTTGAAATAGAGATCTAACATTACAATGATTTTTCATTTCTGTAACAATCTCTACTTCGATCTATATCGCTTTCGACGAAATAGAGATCTGCCTTCGATTTGTGAATAGCGAAGCCACTCAACCTTACTTTCGCTCCAACGTAGCTATCATCAGAACAACCGATTTCAAGTATGCATACTCTCTGCCTCCACTCTTTTCTGTTTCTGTAAAATCTCTTTAGACCGTAGATTCTATCTTTATTTTTGGGTTCAACTTATCAGAGATAATTTTAGATTCTTTCTTCTTCATCTCAGCCATACAATCAAGATGTTTATTTCTTGCAAATTTAATTAAATATCTTAATTCTTTTTTTTGTAGATTAATAATCAGTCCTTTTTTTGTAGGGATCTAAAATCCTTGTTGTTCTTTAGTTTCTTAGGTACAATCTACATTCCAAGGCTCATGTTTATTGGGTTTACTTATAGATTTAAGTTTTCACTCGGTAGGGTTAGGGTTTATTGACTCTTTGGTTTATTTAGGGTTTGATATGCTAATTGAACTAGGGTATTGGAGATTTGATTGCCTAGATGTGATTATGATTATTTTTTTTTTTTATTTTGATGATTTGGTTTGGAATGTGATTATAAAATTGAGTTTCATATCACTGAATATTTATTTGGACCAAAATAAGAATATTGTCCATTTCACTTGGATGTAAGGAAATGACTGATCGATTCGGAGTTGAACTGAAAACACTACACATTAAGAGTAGGATGAGAACCTTGAAGCCAATTTATGCAGAGGCTAAGAAGTTGTTAGGTACAAGTGGCTTTGTTTGGAATGAAGCAAAAAATCAAATTCAAGCTGACCTTGAAGTTTGGAAGGAGTATCTATAGGTAAACATATATTTATGTAAGTCTTCATTTATAAAAAAAATTGGTTAGTGAAGCATGTATTAATTATGAATTGTACAATGTAGACCAATCCACTTGCAGCTAATGTATATGTATGATGAAATGCAAGTAGTATTGGAAACTGACCAAGCAACAGGTGAAGATGCTAGAGAAGGTATTGAGTTGGCAAATGAAGCAGAGATTGAAGGAATTGGTTGTGATGAAACTGATGCAGATATTGATAATGATGCATTAACACCAGTGTTTATCAGTGATGGGACCCAATTAGTGCCTACACAGAGCAAGGCAACATCTTCAACAAGTATGAAGAAGATGGCAATAAGACAAAATCTGATGATGAGTTTTTGAATGCAATTGTTACGATGAACGAAACAATGAACAAGATTGCAAATGCTCTCACAGTTCAAAGTAAGCAAGAATTTCTCAAGGAGCTATGGAATGAGGTCATGGATTTGGACGGGTTTGATCACGAAGAATTAATGATGTGTTTGGCTACTTTGCTTGAAATGATAGGGAAAGCCAAAATATTTCTTGCCAGAGATAAGCCTCGTAGGGTCAAAATGGTCCAATCCATCATCTCTAAGTTGCTTTAGGAAATTGACTTGATAGAGAGATGAGATACTTTTCCTAATCTACACAGGTTTAAACCGCTCTTATCTCTTATTTTGTCCCTTTCATGCTTTGATATAATTGGGTTTATAAATGCTTGCTCTACTGAATCTTCTTCTTTTTGTGGTTGCAGTTAAGCAGTGGGAGAAATACATTTGATGGAGGATCTAAAGCAGTGCATAGTATTTTTTGGGGCTATCACATGCATAGATACCCTAGCATGTCTGAATTGTTGATTATGGTTCTTATCTGTCATGTTTTGGTTATGGTTCTTGATAGAACAGAACAACTTTGGGTTATGAAAAAACAAATATTATATGTTGAAATCTTGTTTTTCTTATGATTAGTAAACTTGATGACTCTGTATCAGTGTGGATGACTTTTGGTTTTGATAATTTTTTTGAGTATTGGATATAATTATATGTCTTCAATTTGGTTTCTACAAATATGTTTAACTCATTGAGCTCTAGCTCCAACATTTCAGTAAGACAAACCTTCCTTTCGGATATTATTCTTCTAGGACTTATTCTTATTTGACAGGTGAAGGAAAATATTCAATTTTTCATTTGCCCTCTACTGATTTTGCTATTGTCTGTTTAGAATTTAAAATCTTTTAACTTTCCATGCGGGACATCCACTGCTAATGTATCAATTGGACATTGGATTATTGGTACTCATGAGGGGTTGGTGCTCTAAGAGGACAAATTCTTCTGTGACAAGTGCTGCAGGTGCTCTTTGCTGCTTTGATCCTTATTTGTTGCAAATACGCTGCTTGGATACGCTGCTCTGTTCCACTTCATTTCAGAAGCATTCTGGAAAAAAAAGTGCAAATACGCTGCTCTGTTCCAACGCTTGCTTCCTGCTGTGAGTGGTGTGAGTTGGTTGTTTTGAATCCAGGTCCAGAAGCAACGTTTGCTTCAAAGCTGCTTGGAGCAAGACTGTTTTCCTTTACAATCATCTATGAAGAACTGAAGACAGGGTTAACTTGACTTGGATGGGGCTGAAGTCAAACAACTCATGGAAGCTGCAAGATATAAGTGCATTGAAAAAAGCTAGATTTCTTGATCTTTTATTTTACATGTCTGAAATTCTTGGGTTGATCATTTCTTTCTTTTTCAGGCTGATGTGGATGGAAATGGAACAATCGATTATATTGAATTTATTACTACATACATGTATAGGCACAAGCTAGAAAGAGATGAACATCTATATAAAGCCTTCCAGCATTTTGATAAAGATTAGAGCGGATACATTTGTGACAGGATGCTTGGAAGCTCTATAGTTCCTATTCAAAAAGAATAGTCGTCGTTGGCGTAAAGAGGAGAGAGAAAATGGCTTACTTGGTGGAAGATACCGTTGTATTTGCATTGATGGTGGGAGTAACTGGTTATTTTTATTTTGTTATTTTTTACCAAGATGCCCGTTGTATGTCCAGACAGCTTGTTATTTTTTATATTTGTTTAATGGTGTGAGTAGCTGATTGTTTTTATGTTGTTATTTTTTACCAAGATGGAAATGCCAAACATCCACAAAAATTATATTCTTATTTGCGTCTTTCAAAACAGATGAGCTGAGTGCAAAATGGGTGTGTAAATCTTGAACCACTTTGCACTCACATGAACCTAACATTTTTGTTTTGTACTCTACAAATTTGCATTAGCACTTCAACCAAACAAAGCCTAAGGTACACTCCATATGCAAAATTAAACCGATTTGCATGAAAAACAAAACTAAAGCTCTTCAAGGGATTTTCAATTTTGAACAAAATTGTGCAGATGTGCATTTCAGCCATATATATTCACAGGGAGGATATATAATATTGTCTTACCTCTTCTGCTCAATGTTGTAAAAGCTACCCTCTCCAATTATATAGGGTGTTTTAATAAAACCTAAAATCTAGGGTAGGTTTTTCTAAATCCATGGTGTTTCAATACATAATACATTTTTAAATTAATAAAAAGATAAATTATAAAAACCTCCCCTGTGTTAAGTGACTTACCTGTTTTTCAAAGTTACATGTTGAACCGGACCTAACCGACTTTTTGAATAAAGATCACATCTGCACCCCACAAACGTCCTACATGCACATCCCAATACACGGTTGGGATATGCTATGGGACACATGTATGAATTCTTTTAAATGCTGGTAACAATAGTACTCGGGCCGTCGGCTATCAAAGATATGAATCCATTCTACACACATGGATTGTAACAGTGCCAGAACCCGGAAATAAAACTTGAGTGCGATCATATGCAATTTTGGTTAAACTCTTAGGACTGAAATCAGTACTTAGTACTGCAATCGGTAGTAAAAGGAGTGTCAAAATACTAAGCTGAAATGAGCTGTATTCATTAGTTAAAAAAGAGGGCAGCCAAAACTCAAAAGTCATAGTAAGGGCAACCACATAGAAGGGGTATAGATGCCATCGTGTTCTTGGGAGTTTTTTGACCCGTACAAAATATAGGAGAGGCTTAAGCAACTGTCAGAAAACACAAGAGAGGTTTTAGCAATTTTCCTTTAGGCTGCGTTTGGAAACAATGCAAATAGAGTGTAAATCCTGGTTCAGGGTAAATTTGCACTCTGGTTCATTTTTGCATGTGTTTGACAATATTACATTTATGCATTCACAAATGACAGACCAATGCATAGTTACATTGAAAATAAAATGTAAAAGTACATCAATAAAAAAGAAGTAAATTTGTATTCAAGTGGGCTTTTGATAAAAAGAAAGCATATGCTTTATTGGAATTCATGTTTGCATCCATTACAGCTAAAAGTCTGTTTGGTAAGAAGGTAAATTTGTCAGTGCAAAACTAACCCAATTTTATAATTTATATGAACTATTTTACACTCCGTATATATATTTGCATTGTTTCCAAACGCAACCTTATGGTTTTAGCAATTTCTTAAACTACCCTTATGGTTTAGCAAATTGATTTAAGTGTACCCCTACAGTTTGAAAATTGTTTAAGGTACCCCTACTGTTTTCGACAATTGAATAATACTTCTCTTACCGTTAACAAATATATCATCACATGACTATTATAACTTTCTAAGGTACAATTTACCCTTTTATGTTCAAAAGTGCCCTTTTCGTTTGGAAGAGACTATTCTGCCTATGTACCCTTTTATGATTTCCTGTTATCAACTCAAGAGGGAGGGAGCGAGCTCAAGTTGGTTATTTCCGGCATCGACACCGGAATTTGCCTACCAGACACAGCAAAACTACGATGGCCATGGCGATCTCCGCCACACTCAATTCGGCACGCTCTGTTCGCTCTCCCTGAATCTCCCATCTTCGATCCAAAAAACCCAAATGATCAATTGCTACAAAACCCAGTAGATGATGATTATCGATCCAAGAAACCCAACTGCGTGCGTGCTTTTTATAGTTCACAATTTCTTCTCTTCTTCTCCCACTATTTTCTTTGGCCTCCAACCACCGAAGTAACAACACCACCAAACTTAGACTCTCTCTTCTCTCTCTACTCTCTCTCAAACTCTGTTTGGGTGAGTGAGAAGAACAATGAAACTACCAATCGAACGAGACAGCCATGGTGATCTCCGCCGTTTTCAATCCTTCTAGTTAAATCCCATCTACCAAGAGCAGATTATATATAGAGCTCTAACCTCACAAATGAAGTTACCATAGATGTACGTTTTCATCTTCCACCTCATTGCTATTATTGTGAATGTAGGATTGTACTCAACCAATGATTTATAAGAACATTTGTTATTGCTCATCTTTATTGTACAACGTCTGGAACCGTTTCAGCCAAACAGTCAACAACGAACACATTCAAAACAACAAACACTACTTTAGATAAGTCTCAGCTTTGTTGCTGAATTCAATAATAAATCGCCTCAAGTTCGCCTAAAACCCATTTTGACCGTTCTTCTAACTAAATTAAATTTTGATAGCTCTCCAAACTATTGAAACATTACATCTGATTCCAATCAAAGGTGGATTGCTCTCTTTCTAGTGCCAAATGCTGCAACTCTTAGAACAATCCTCTTTTTGGATGGTTTGGCATGCCGGTAATTAGTAAAAGGGAAAATTTCTTAAAGTACCCTTAGTGTTTAGCTAATTGATTAAGGTGGTGTTCGATTGCACTTTTCAGATGTCTGAATCTCAAAATGTTACTTCTTCAGACGCCACCTTTGTTTGGTGTTACATTTGAAATAGGGTCTGAAAACTTTTCTTAGATTTGAAATTTTTAGACTCAGGCACGTGTTCAGATGCATTTCAGATGTGGCCAAAAGTCAAAACTACCCTTCCCCATTCGACCTCTCTTTCTCGTCTTCATGCATCTCTCTCTCTCTCTCTCTCCCCCTTCCTTGTCTTCCCACCTCTAGCACTGCTGTTGCAACATGCAGTAATGGTGGTTCGGTGAGTAATAATAATATTTTTATTAATTATTAATTATTTTTATTAATTATTAATTATTAATTATTAATTATTTTTATTAACTAGTAAATTTTAATTATTTCATTAATTTTTAAAAATTATTTTAATTTTTATTTGTGTAAATTATTAATTAGTAATTATTAATCATAATTTTTCTTAGGCTTAAAGAAGGGAGAGAAAAAAAGCTGAAAAGGCATGAAGAACGGAGGCTTCAGCTGGGTTTGCATAGGCAACGTAAAAAGCAGACACGACATAGAGCAAGGATTTGAGATTTCGACCTCTGTGTCAACTTGATTTATAGGTGACATCAAAATTTTATTTGATTTTAGCATTTTAATCAGATCAGTAACTCTTGAGATCTCTATTTTTTAGCCTGAGCTTGAATCTACTAAGCTTTGCCACTCGAAGACAATATAAAGAGCAGGGTTTACGACTCTGTTATGGTTACAGTTTGACACTGTAATCATAAAATGGTATTTTAGGAGTTTAAAAAAAATTTCAATCACGTGATGTCACATGTGAACGAAGTGGGACAAAAAATTAACGGTAAGGGAAGTTTTACACAATTGTCAGAGAACTTAAGGGTACTTTAAGACAATGTAAAAATAGTAAGGGTAGAGTTAGTTGATTTCCTAAACCGGGGTACTTTAAGAAATTTGCCCTAAATAAAAAGAATCTTGCAACATTGCAGCAAGGAAATCTTTTGATAGCAACCTACTTCACCAAATTGAAGGCTCTAGGGATGAACTCCAAACGGTGTTTCCTGTACTTGAGTGCACTTGCGGAGCGGCCAGATGATGAGACTGAAAAGAACCTTATTTTTGTCCCCTAATTTTCATTTTTTTACATTACTTTAGCACTTAAATGGACTCATTACTCTTGTATTTCGATTCGGGGCAATAAAGAAGGCAATTGGAAGAAAACAGGGCAAATCGGGTGATTTTGCACAGTTTTGGCGACAATCAGTAATCTGGGCATAACTCTCAATTCCAGACTCCGAATTGGACGATTCAAGAAGCCTTAAAAAGATGAAAGGAAAACCCACAACTTTTATGTTTTGGGTTGTGACAGATTCAGCCCGCATCGAGTATGAAACGAGCCCTAAGTCAGAGTAAGTTCGCAGCTAGGCCCATTTCACAACTGAAACCCAACTCGCAGAAGTACCTTGAAATAACCCATGTTATCAAAGCAGCCCAACTCGAAATCAAGAATCAAGAGTCCCAATTTCGAATGTAATCTCCAAGGAGAGAGTCTTATCAGATCTAAAGTTTTGAATGTAATCTTAGAGAGATAAGAAG